CCCCTTCCTTACACCTTACACTAAAATTAACTCCAAATGGATTAAAGTTTTAAACAGAAGACCTAACACCATGAAAATCCTAGAAGAAAACCTAGGCAATACCATTCAGGACATAGGCATAGGCAAGGACTTCATGACTAAAACACCAAAAGCAATGGCAACAAAAGCCAAAATAGACAAATGGGATCTAATTAAACTTAAGAGTTTCTGTACAGCAAAAGAATTTTTTAAAATTTTTAAGTAGGCAAAGATGAAAAATTTCTTATTTTTAGTAAATGTTTGAAGCAAACTAAGAGGACTTGGGCAATATTTACCAAAACAAAACAGAACCCCAAAAAATGTACATATTGATCTTAGCAGTTGATCTTAACAATTGATCTTAACAATTAATTATTAGAGAACTATAAAACTTTATGCTTTGTACCATTAAAATAAGAGATCTTATTATAGAGATACTTAATAAAGAGATGATATTTTAATATTTGCAGTTCTGAGGTAGAGTGGAACCTAGTTCCACATTGTGATTTAGAAATTTTTTAAACCTTTTTTCTTCAGGGGAGAAGCGAGCCAGGCCTCAAGTTTAGTGCTAAAGCCACTAGTGTGCTTATGCTTTTCCCCAACCACCACATGTGACATGGAGGCAGAGGCTGAAAATTGGGGCTAAGAAAATAAGAGGAAATTAGCAAGTTGACTACTACTATCAAGTGAACTCAGAGGAATCAGATTTTTCTGTTATATTTAAGTTATAGAAACCAGGCAGGCTTAGAATGGTTTCTAGAGGTCATTGAAGAAAAGAAAGCTAAGAAAACTTGGTATACATTTACAATTGGAATCTAATTATGCATTTTACTCTCAGAATATTATTTACATTAGACTTCCTGTTTCTTTTATATTCTTGCATTTATATAATGCCTGATCCTTTCAGAGTTCTGTCACATATATGACCTTCTTTATGAAACAAAGTAGATGCTTTATTCTGATATATCTGGTTTCCCACTTTAGGGTAAAAGTAGGTTAATAGAATGACAAATTCAAAGTAGATGAAAAAATCAGGCACAGAGAAGTCAAGGTAGGGACAAAGAGACCTAAATTCACACAATAAGATAATGACATCACCACCATTTACATTGATCATCAAAGGCTGGGCTGGATTTGTCTTGGTATATGTGTCAGGAAATTTATACCTATTACGTTTTTCATTTTCTCAAAGTAAGTCACATGATTGTAATGTTTAGCTGCAACTTTTCTCATAACGAATAGTGTCATCAAGAATATTGTAGTGTGAAGTTTACATTTCAGGGTCAGTTATACAGTGTGAACTCATGATCTAAGGGAATGAGAATGGAGGATGATTGGAGGCCATGATATAGACAGATTTGCATGTTGAAGCATGTATAAAACATGATACTGTGAGTGAATATCCCCATCCCCAAGGGCACTTTATACATATTAGATAGATATATGATTACTGTGCAAAAATTTACTCTGGAAATGAATAGATATTAGAGCACGAATATGTAATGTACATCTTCTGCCCTAAGGAGAAAAGAAATCATAAAACTGGTTTTATATTCAAAATTACATTCCTGAGCATGTCTTAGAATAATTTATGTTTTGATGCATGTAAATTGTATTTTAGGTAGACAAAAAACCAAATCTGGTTTATTTATGTAAAAACTAGTTTAATAAAGTTAGTAGCTTTATTATTTTAAATCTTTAGTGTCTAAAAGTGTTATTTAAAGTAACGCTAGCACATCAGAAAACCTTTTGTAGACAAAACTAGTTATCACTGCTTCTGCAACTGCGGTTGCTCCCTTTAGGGCTAAAAAAGGGATCCGAATGTTACATGTGTTGATATTATAACTTGTCAGTTACTGATATCTGTGGTATCCTACCCTCATCTCTCAAAGGGATAATACTGAATAATTATTAGAAAGCTATAAAACTTTACTCTTTGTACCATTAAATCCTAAAATTTTAATCCTATTCTTTTTTGTATGGATCAATCAGCACTTGGGAACATATTTAACATCTGAGTAGCAGCAGGGAAAAAAATCAAACTGCATTCATATGTTCTATGTTCATATCTCTTATCTACCTAATTGTTCATTTAATTTCACCCTTATTCCTTGATAAGGGATTTTACCACATGAAGTCATCCAATGACCTTCCCTCTTATTGTGAAGTTAAAGATTAGTGAAGTATACTTACAAAACATTTATTAAAGCTCATATTTAAAGTAGAGCATCTAGTTTGAGAAACAGAAATCAGACAATTATTAAAGATGTCTTTTTTTCTACCCACTTAACTAGTTAAAACCATGCCATGTAAATGTAGAGGTAGAATAATGGCATTGAATTCCCTAAAACATTTCTGTTTACTGGCATATATTGACCAAGTAAATCAAGCAGGAGAGATCTTCCTTCATTCTGTTATAGTCCACATCATTCTCTCTAATTTTGCTCAGTTGCTGTTCAGAGCATATTTCTAAACCGTACACTTTTGTTTCAATAAAGTTTTATTTTGTTGAGATGAGTAAAATATCAAAGTTATAAGCTACATAAGACAAAAGTATAATTGTTCAAAAAAATTTACTGGGATAGCTGTCTATTATAGGTATTGTTGATTATATTGCTCAGATAAGGTTAATTTCTAAAAAAAAAATGTTTGTACTTTTCTGTAAATTAAAAGAAATGGAATCATAAAATGGCAAGTGTTTTAGGGTTAGCCTAAAATTGGACATTGTCATAGATTTCAAAGAAAGTATGAACTAGCAAGCTTATGCCTAATTCTTCCTTGGTCTGGTCCTTGGCAGCAGTACCTTTTCAGACTTCATAAACAGAATTCAGACAGATGACGTCAAAACAAAACTTTACAGAGCCAAGTGTATTAGCTGTTGCATTAATCTGTTTTTTCTATCATGTACACTGCTAGTATGTGCATTAGCATGATATTCTCATGGCAGTGGTCTGCATTGCATTAAAAATTAAAAGGTGGGAGCTCAGGGTGAGCTCTTCTTTTATTCATTTGTTCCTACATTTTGTTTTTGTTTTTTTTTTTTTTGAGATGAAGGCTCGCTCTTCGCCAGGCTGGAGTGCAGTGGCTCAATCTTGGCTCACTGCAACCTCCGTCTCCGGAATTCAAATGATTCTCCTGCCTCAGCCTCCCTATTAGTTCAGACTATAGGTGCACGCCACCATGCTCAGCTAATTTTTGTATTTTTAGTAGAGATGGGATTTCACCATGTTGGCCAGGATGGTCTCGATCTCTTGACCTCGTGCTCTGCCTTTCTGGGCCTCCCAAAGTTGTTTCTGAATTTTTAAGGGTGTTTTCCTCAGTCAATAGTTTCTACAGACTGGTTAGTTTAACTTCATTACCCATTTCATTAAAGTTGATGGATTGTGATGAGGTGCATTTAAGGCCGATAGTGATTTTTTTTATCCCTTGAACACAAGCTTTGTCTGAATGATGTTCTTTTATCTCTTGAACACAAGCTTTGTCTGAATAAAAATTACAGGTTTCAAATGCTGTTACATTAATACCATAACGTGATGTGTCAGAAACAAAGGGATATTTTAAAGGTAGATATTTGAAAATTCTCTAGTCTCAATGTATATGTTTATTGAATATACTCTAAAAATAAATGTGCAAATTGTTAGTAGGACAATGCAGGGATTAGCATTGGGTATGTCTCTTTTATATCCCCGTTATGTCCCATTTTCTTCTAAGTGTAGCCCTTTCATGTTCACTTGCTGTTTGGAAGGCTTGTTTAGAGTATAGTATGTATTTTTACCTTTGCAGTGAATTGCATGTGCTAATTCTAACCACAGCTGTCATTTTTACGTCGACGTAACTCCAAATGTTATCTTAAATATTCTATTACATATCAGCTCTAATCCTTTAAATAAATTTTAAGAAATAAATTCTTGTTCAAATTTAAAAAAAAGAAAAGAAAGGAAAAAGTAAAGGCAGTGACATGATTAAATCACCAAGAAAGGAATGGACTTGTAATCCAGTTGGTGGAAAATAAAACAATGGGGTTGGATTTTGAATGCCCTCCCGAGTCAGCCAGCAGCTCTTCTATATCCATGGGTGTAGTATGGAGAGAAATCTGTGAACAGTCTAAGAACTTTACATATCAGCAGGAAGTGTTTTTTTGTGAGCTTCTTTGGTTTATATTGTGAAACATAAAATCAAACTTGACATAAATCTTGAGATAATTATGCTGGTTGCGCATCTTAATGGGTATAATGACTATAAAGGATAGTCATTATCTCCCACAGACCACTGCCAACCATTTGCTACTAATGTGGTGGAAACGGGTCCAAATAATCAGAACCAGTATTGTAGGAGTTGTATGCCTGTCACCCTGGTGATGAGATTTCAGCTATCATCTACTCTACTCCATTGGGATGAGGAGGAGGAGAATTCACCTAACCACAAAGGATTGTCTGTCTGGAGCTCTGCCCTCCCCATCCATCACCCCTCCTCACACTCCACCTTGCAGGCCTATTGTAGACACCCATCATCCTTCATTTGGCAAAACAAAGTTAGAAGCCAAGTGAGGAGGCTGGGATCCTTTCCAGTTCAAAGAACAAAACGTGCCAGACATTAATGGGGCCTAAAGGTTGCACATGCCCATTTGGAAAATTTATACTTCACAGTGCTTGCTCAAAGAGTCAAAGCTGAAAGAGTCAAAGCCTTTCCAAACCTATCCTCTGCAGCACCTGACTTACTAAGTGGGATTTGAGTAACTCCTAGCATCATCACTCTTTGTTACAAATAATTGCATCTTAGTATCCCTTGAGTAATACATCTTTTTTTGTGCATAGTAACTTTGCATGCTTGGAAGCTATATATATGGAAGTTTTATATATATATATTGAATTCTATGATGCTGTGTGTGCATTTTCAACTGAGAACTGATGAAGTATTTATAATTTGAGCCAGGAACTTAGCATTTACCGTGTACTGATTCTGCCAATTTTAACATTTCACAGAAATGAGGACGCAGTCAATCAAATGGCCGTGACGCCTTTTCCAGTGCCATCAGGTTCTCCATCTTCTATTGAGGTAAGGTTGTTTCCAATTAGCTCTTAGTGAATTAGCTGGATTTGTTATGAGCATTTTCCCCAAATCTGACATTTTTGTTCTTCAGTATTTGGTATTCCAAACTCTTGGAAAATTTCCCTGCCCAAAATAGAAAGTATTTGAAGTATTGATTATAAAGTAATTTTTTAGTAAATATGGTAGAACTTAACCATATGTATATTACCTTCTTCGGACTGCTCTAAATATATAATTTTGTCCTAATTGGGCATTTCAGAATTTATAAGAAAATTCTCTTTGATTATGACTGAATTTACCCCTTTCTTTATGGCTTTGAAATACTTTAATACCTATAATCACAGGTGTCTTTAAATCATTACTTTCATCTGTTAATAGAGAAAGTGCTAGCAGAACAAGATTGCTGTAACATCGGTGGGCTTCTGGAGTAGATGTAGAATTGTGTCATCAGTTTGTCTCCCCAGCTAAGAGGATATTCCTTCTCTTCTCATTTTATATTTATTGAATTATTTTTCAACTCCAAAAAGAAATATACACTTATTATTACTAATTAAATAGTGCAGGTTTTTCAAAGAAATCTCTATTTTTCTTTCACTAACTCCCTAAGGAAGTTAATGTTCACTATTCAGTATCTTTTCATACATTTTCCTTTGCTTCTATAGTCAACATAAATAGCTATATATCGTGTCCCTTTTAATAAAAATTTGATTGTGCAAGACACATGATTTTTATTCTTTCAACAAGTTTTCAGGGTTCTGGGCCAGGGTGGATGGTGGGTGGGATGGAGGTGACCCCGGAGCAGCGCTTGGAAGACACAGTGAAGAGTCACTCCATTGTTGGAGTCCTGTGCACACATTCACAAGGACTTAATCTGGGTTGCCATGGGACCCTGTCAGATGAGCATGCTGGAGTGATATCTGTTCTAGCCCAGCAAGCAGCTAAGCCAACCTCTGATCCCACTGACATGGCTGTGGTGTGTTCAGAATCAGCTAACGGAAACATTATGATCCAGTAGCTGATGGCATCACAGTGGCAGTACACAAAATGGCCTCGATGTCTCCTATCTGTCCTTCAGCAGCTTGGCATAGGAACTCGATCCTACCTATGTTAATTATCATCTTACAAAACTACTAAAGTTCCAGTAGTTAGGCCATTCATTTAATGTGCAATGGGCACTTTTATTTAAGAGTGAATTGCTTTTTAACGCTATGGACTGATCTATCAAGATAGTAGTAAGAAAGGATCATGTTTTAAAGCAGCAGGTCCAGGTCGCTTTGTATATAGAATTTTGCTATATTCAATAAATCTGTTTGGAGCGGGGAAAAAAAGCAAGCATTCAATGGGTGAGTATTATTATTATTATTATTATTATTTTTTTTTTTTTTTTTGAGAAGGAGTTTCGCTCTTGTTACCCAGGCTGGAGTGCAATGGTGCGATCTCGGCTCACCGCAACCTCTGCCTCCTGGGTTCAGGCAATTCTCCTGCCCCAGCCTCCTGAGTCGCTGGGATTACAGGCACGCGCCACCATGCCCAGCTAATTTTTTGCATTTTTAGTAGAGACAGGGTTTCACCATGTTGACCAGGATGGTCTCGATCTCTTGACCTCGTGATCCACCCACCTCGGCCTCCCAAAGTGCTGGGATTACAGGCTTGAGCCACTGCGCCCGGCAAATATCTCTAAGTCTTTTTTTTTTTTTTTTTTTTTTAATACAGGGTTTCACCATGTTGGTCAGGCTGGCCTTGAACTCCCGGCCTCAGGTGATCCACCCGCCTTGGCCTCCAAAATGCTTGGATTACAGGCGTGAGCCACCACGCCTGGCCTGTATTATTTGTTAAGCACTCTTTTGGGCATTAGAGATCTAGGTGTAAATAAAACAGATAAGACTTCCTACCAATTTGTTATCTTTCTCATGGTTGAAGAGAGAAAGATACAAATTAAGAAATAAATAAACCAAGAGAATTCTCATATAGTGGTCAGTGCCTTGGAGAGAATAAAGTGGGGAATGTGACCACTTTGCTTAGTTTTAGAGAAGGCCACTTGTGTAGCCAAAATACAGGTTAGTCACCTACTGCTTGCAGAGTCCAGTTAGCAAGAAGGGGTCTAGTATAAAGAAGGCGGTTTATTCCAAAGCTAGCTTTGGGGAAGGAATACAGGCTTCCTGCTTTAAGGGTAACTGCTTCACTTTTGGAACAGAAAGCTGGCACTTTTAAAAGGCAGCGGAGGTAATGAGCAAGGGGGAGGGCCACGAACTGGCTCCAGTGCCTTAGCTACCTGGCAGTCAAGCTGGTAACTGCTCATGCCTTCTTGTGAAGGACTAGGTCAGATTCTCCCCAGGTGGAAGAGAGTTTCATATCTCTTGAGGCAGTCTCCTGGTCAAGCGGTGGGAGCCCATAGAATCAGCTGTTATCTCTCCAGGCAACCTTCTGGTGGGTGAGGGTTTCTTTCTGGATCTCTCCCAAGCACACAGTTAGATGAATTTGCTCTATAGGGAGTGTCTGGTGAAGGGGAGGTAAAAGGCTATATTTGCATTTCTTTTTTTCTTTTTGAGATAGAGTCTCACTCTGCAACCCAGGCTGGAGTGCAGTGGCGTGATCGTGGCTCACTGCAACCTCTGCCTCCCAGGTGTCAAGCCATTCTCCTGCCTCAGTCTCCCAAGTAGCTGGGATTACAGGTGCCAGCCACCGCACCCAGTTAATTTTTGCATTTTTAGTAGGGAAGAGGTTTCACCATGTTGGCCAGGCTGGTCTCGAACTCCTGACCTCAGGTGATCTGCCCGCTTGGGCTTCCCAAAGTACTGGGATTACAGACATGACCGTATATTTACATTTCTAAAGCACTAAGTAGGAAGTGGGGAACTGGGGGAATGAGAAAAGGAGAGAGAAAAAAATAATTATCTCTTAGAAAAATGGTAGTACTCGGTTACACTTGGGCAAGGCGAAATTTAAAGAAAATAAAAATTAAAAGAAAAAGCCAGACACTCAAATATAAGAGGGAGGAGCCTTCCCTGCTCAGCGGATAGAAATAGCTCTCAGGTGAGAATAAGCTGGGGTGTGTTTGAGGAATATGGCTGGAAGCATATTGGGAGCTGGGAGAGCAGTGAGTATGAGACAAGAGGGAGAGAAAGACTATGTAAGTCAGAGTTAGAAGTTTGGGTTTCATTCTATATTCAGTGGAAGCCACTGGAAGGATTTAAACAGGGGAGTGACGTGACCTCATACATAGTTTTAAAGGATCCATCTGGCTATTTAGGGGAAGAAAATTAACTTTTTTCTTCAAACCTCATAGGTTCTTAGTTGGAATGGAGCCTTGTAACAAAAGATAGATTAACAAGAGAAAAACAGAAGTTTAATGACATATGTATTTCCAATATACATGGCAAACACCCAGGGAATGAGTAGTTCTCAATGAGGTGGGTTTAAATTCTATCTTAAATAGCATCTTCAACAAAATGATAAATGTTTAGAGAAGTGACAAGGCAAAGGAAGAAGACTTTGTTTCTAGGGATGGCAATTTGAGGGACCGTAAGAAGCTGGCAGATAAAGGCTAGTTGGTATAGCTTGTTCATGTGGATTCTCCTGGTACCGTCTCCAGGGGATAAGATTTCCGTGTTGTCTTCAGGGGTTAACCTTTGTTCTTCCTGGTACACAGGGAGGGAGATGTCTTTTATATATGTCTATGTTGTCCTGCTTTTAGACAAATAGAGGGAGAGCAGAGAGTTTTCCTGCATCTGCTTCTACCTAATTGCCTTCAGCTCCACGATCCTTCCTTTTTAGAGTGGCATATTCTCATCTCCCGCAGCTGCTAGGTAGGGAATGGGTTGGTAGGAAGGTAAAAGTAACATGCTAAAAGGCAAAAGCCCAAGTGAGGCCCTAATGTGGCTTGAATGAAGTGTTGGTATTGGAGGCAAAGAAAAGTGAGCAGATTCTTGATGTTTTGCAGGTTGAGTCAAACTTGATTAATTAAACACAGGGGCTGAGGGGAAGTAGAGAATCATGGATAAACCTAGATTTTTGGCTTGAGCAACTGGGTGGATAGTGGTACTATTTACTAGAGTCTCTTGAAGAATAGCTGTTTTGAAAATTTAGAAGACTGATTTTATTTTTAAATAAAGCCGGCTAGTATGTAAAATAAAAGGTACAGGCTAGTATGTAAAATAAAGCAGGCTAGTATGTAAAAAATATTATAAAGTATAAACAATGCCAGTCTTAAGTTTCAAGAACATTATCATAGTATCTTAATCAAATTTATGTACCATTATTTGTATTTCATTTTCAAAAATAATGAAATCACGTTAGGCATTTAAATGTATAAATAAAGAGTAAATCCCTTTGTGTAAAAGCATATGCTGTGTGGGCTATGTTTCTATTGAATCATCACAATTTGATTATGTTTTGGAGAGGGCTTTTTAGTTCCTCTCTGGACTGTTGGCTCTAGTAACTACTACTACCAAATGATGAATGCTGCCCCTCCTGTGGGTGGCGTGTGAAGACTACATACATGCTCTGTTTCCTGACCACTTTCTCTTCCCTTCTCATTTGCTTGCGTGGACCCTCTTACTATATCTTTTTCCCCCTTGGATGTTTCTAGTGAGTACTTAAGCATAACTCATCCAGCATATGGCTAAAAGAGACAGCTCATTTAAATCATAACCAAATAGATGAAATAGAGCCATATCATTACTAAATTGGACCTGATAATAATAATTCAGCATTGGCCGGGCGCGGTGGCTCAAGCCTGTAATCCCAGCACTGTGGGAGGCCAAGGCGGGTGGATCACGAGGTCAAGAGATCGAGACCATCCTGGTCAACATGGTGAAACTCCGTCTCTACTAAAAATACAAAAAATTAGCTGGGCATGGTGGTGCGTGCCTGTAATCCCAGCAACTCAGGAGGCTGGGGCAGGAGAATTGCCTGAACCCGGGAGGCGGAGGTTGCGGTGAGCCGAGATCGCGCCATTGCACTCCAGCCTGGGTAACAAGAGCGAAACTCCGTCTCAAAAAAAAAAATAAATAATAATAATAATAATAATAATAATTCAGCATTATTAAGTAGCACTTTTATTATGTGCTAATGGTATCTCATATTTATTTCTCTATTCAGGAAATGCTTATTGAACTATTTTTTTTAAGACAAGATCTTGTTCTGTTGTGCTAGAGTTCTGTGGTGCTGTCATGGCTCACTACAGCCTCAAACTCCTGGGCTCAAGTGATCCTCCTGCCTCAGCCTCCCAAGTAGCTGGGACTATAGGCACATACTACTGTGGTTGGCTACATTTTTAAATTGTTTGTAGAGACTCTCACCATATTACTCAGGCTGGTTTTGAACTCCTGACCTCAAACAGTCTTCCCACCTTGGCCTCCCAAAGTGCTGGGATTACAGGCATAAGCTATTGAGCCTATCCTTATTGGGCTCTTATTATGTGTCAGTGTTCTAGACCCAAAGGGTATAGTAGAGAACAGAATGGTTTCATGCAGTTCTGGGCTAGTAGAGTGAGCAAAAGTGCTAATAGAACGTTGAACAAGAAGCCTGATGATATGGGTTTCAGCCTTGGCTCTACCAATTACCTGTGGGCTTATAACCTTGATAGAGGCAGGTAACCTCTCAAAATCTGTCTTTTTCTGTAAAGCCAGCTTAATAGCCTCCCCTGCCTATGTCAAACGGTAGTTATGAGAGCCAGGTGTAAAAATATTTTATCCCTACAGCTATATATATTTATAAGGGATTATGATGCAGTGCTTGTGGTAATTATAGTATCATTGGTGCAATTCTGCAACATAGTGATGTCAACATAAGCTCAGATGCCAGGCAGGGCCAAGTCTTCATCTATATTCTACCATTTACTAGCAGAGTGAACTTGAGCCAGTTACGCTCTGTAAACTTCAGTTCCTCACGTTTAAAATGGGTTTGTGGACTTGTTAGAAGTATTAAGTAATGTTTATAAAAGGCTTGGCACTATTCCCGGCACATGGTAAGACCTCATTTTTGTTGTGATTGTACTCATCATAGCCCTCTAGTAGAACTCCCAGCTTCCAGCATCTTCCACCTTTAATAGTTACGTACAAAACAGGATTTTTTTTCCTTTTAAAAACTAACTAAATTGATCAAGAAAAATTGTATATATTTATCACATACAACATGATGGCTTCTTTTTGTTTGGTTTTGGTTCTGTGCTCTGTTGCCAGGCTGGAGTACAGTGGCATGATCTCAGCTCACCGCATCCTCAACCAATCTTCCATCCTCAGCCTCCTGAACAGCTGGGACTACAGGCACGCACCACCATGCCTGGCTATTATTAAAATTTTTTGCAGAGACAGAC